GCTGAAAATCGAAAATATCGTTTTTTGGCAATTTTTGAGGACGTCTAACTCACTGAAAAAAAAAGATATCTCAATGATTTTTGTGTCAAATCTTACCCAATCTCAGTTTTGAGCGGTGACGAATTTTCAGCACAATTCAAAAATCAGAAAAGAAGTTAGAGGTCATCAAACTTGCAACAAAATCAGTTTTCAATTTTTTCTGAGTTTTTTTTGCAAATTTTGAGGACCTCTAACTCAAAGACCTTCTGAGATATCAAAAAGATTTTGATATCAACTCTTATACATAAAAAAGGCTCTATTGTGACATAATTTCAACAAAATTCAATTATTAGAAAAAAGTTACAGGTCCTCAAATTTGTAGCAAAATAAACAGTTTTCGAAAATTGTCATCTTTTTGTCAAATTTTGAAGACCTATAACTCAAAAACTACTCAATAAAAATTTATAAATTTTTGATATGTTGTCAATATAGCAACGTTCTATCGTTTGAACGTTTAAGAAGCAAAAATTTCAAAAAAGAAAAAATTTCGTTAGAGGTCCACAAAACTTGCAAAAAAAAATTGATTGAAAAAAAAAAATTGAAAAAAAAAATTGATAACAAATAAAGATTTAAGAAAGTATCAGCTTACAGGTTTCTGAGTGTAGATATTTTGTTGTTGGGTTTTTTTCTCGTAAAATCAAATTGAGTGCTTAATTGTTGATTTTAGACCTGAGAATTTTTTCAATGTGAGGGTCCGGTATGTTGTGCGCATGACCAGGTTCTTCTATGAATTCTGTTCTACGAACACGTAGGTTCTAGTTTACAGGTTTCTGAGTGTAGATATGATGTCAGATTTGCTATGAAGATACTTTACCAAACTAAAAATATTGATCGGGTCTTTTTTCTTCAGGGAAGAAAAATGAAGAGAATAGACCGAATGCATTTGGAGCGAAAATTTGATAATTACTCGGTGGAAGATTGGTTGGATAAGGATAATTGGGAAGGTTTGATACCATTGGAAATCGAAGATGAAGTGGGAAAAGGGAAAGGTTTGATTGCAAGAAGGAAGTTTCAAGTGAATGAAACAATTGGTTTTTACCGGGGAAAAAGACTCACAGAAGCTGAGTATATGAAAAAACACCAAGTTGGAGACAATGAGTATATTTTCGTAAACAAAGAAAACAAACTGTATATCGACGCCACGGAAGATGAAAATTGTCTGGCTCGATATATTAACGACTCGAACAATGAGAAACCAAATGCGAGGACGAAAATTTACACCGATCGTTCGGGTAGAAAACATATCCAGATAGTTTGTTGTCGGGAGATCGATGTTGGGGATGAGATTCATTACGATTATAAAGGGGAGTACATGCCGTGGAGGAAACAAAAAATAACCGAGTCTGTAACGGCTTCCACGCTGCCTTATGCCTCGAGCATTTCCGTGATTTCACAGCAGAAAAATAGTGAAAAGAATGATGACAGCCCTGACAACAGCTTTGACGAGATTCAAACAAATATGGAAGCTGAAAATATTGGCATTAGCGATGAGGAAGATTCGGTGGATGCTTCTGAAGATTTGTTTAAGGAATCGGATGAAAATTGCCAAGATAATGAGCCGACGTCACCTCCACCTTTGCATCCAAAGCCCTCCATTATCAACAGTGAAGGAGACCGAAAAGAAATCTTTCTCACAACAAGGTTCAAACAAACTGACTACCCGCCTCTTACAAGTAAAAGAAAAGCTAACAATGCAGTAGAAATTGCAGTAAAACAAAAGGAGGCAAAAATTGACAAGAAAACCATTGTTTTTCAGAGTACCAATCGCGAAAGGGAAACAGAAATGCATTGTCTGTTTTGTAAGTACCCAATGGAATCGGAGAGAGAAATGGCATTCCATAGATTTGTGTGCGAGCACAAAAAAGACGTTTTCCCGGACGAAACTTTCAGTTATCGGGAAACTGGTGCTGACAAGTACTACTTGTGCATAAAATGCCTTGGTCTTTGTTGTCAGTCGCAACATCCACAGTTCAGAAAACACGTCGAAAAAGAAAGCGGCGCTTGGTCAGAAGAGTTTTATATGATCATAAAATTGGATAGAGAAAGTGAAGCTCCAAAAATAAAGTCAAATGTCGAAATAATTGAGAAGTGCGCAACATCAAACACTGATCAGCTCCAGGTCTCAACCTCAAGTGCCCCATACAGCGTGCGAGAAATAACTGATGATACCTTGACATATTGTAGCGCATGCAAGAGTAATGGTTTAAGTCGTCCAAACAAATTGAGAGCTCACCTTGAAAACGTGCACCGCGTTGATAAAAAATATCTCTCCATTATTATCAGGGTTATGCTCTTGGAAAACAGCAATCGGCGAGATAAAACCAATGAAAAAAATTACGTCTGTCTGCATGAAGATTGTCTTATCATGTTTGGTAGAAGAGGTGATCATACATACAACCATGTTAAAGAACAAAGACTTGTCCGAACACTGTCTTATCTACCCGAATACATAACAAAGGAGTTAGAAAAGCGAGTATTGGCCGAGGAGGAAATCAAAACTCCCCATGTAAAAATTGATTTTGCATTACATCTGACAGAAATCAAGAAATCTGCAGTATTAGAAAGGCACAGAAATGAACACGATGTTATAACCCCGGAAAACGTCGACTTGATTTGTAGTCGAGTCAAGGATTGTCTTGTGCTAACGGAAGGTTTGACCAAAGTGTACATGACTACAGAATGGATGAACCAATATAAAAGGGCGAGAGCCGAAAGCAGCACGATGTAAAATTGGTTGAAACATCTTCAGAGATTCGTTGAATTCTTGTTAACCAGAATCGAGTACGGCAGCAAAAACCCCTATCTCGATGTAGTTGTCATTGAGAAAGAGATAGCAAAGAGAATTAAGGCCCTCAACAGATCAAAAGCGATCCGAAACAATATTTTCATCGATGGCGAAGGAGAACAGTTACCAGATAGAGCTACCTTGTCGATATGGGCGGGTGCAATACAGGATTATTTGGAGGAAAAATTATTGACAGCATTTCGGAATCTGACTACCGGGTAGTGCAATATAACTTCTAAGCACTGTTGATTATGTATTCAGGATTAAGCGCTGGAACGATCATCAAAATCAAGAGGAACTATTTGCAAGGAGTGTACTTTGATGAAGAATACCAGGTGTATGGCATGAAATTGATCCCTCTTGAAGTAGCGGAGCTTCGCATGGGCTCTGGACAAAGAAAGGATTAATCTTATTGCAAAAAAAGTCGGGCGCACACACAAGAACTTCAAATTTTCTGGCAAAAAACAGTAACTCTGACCCAAATGCTTAAAGACATTCTGGACAAGTATTTAGATCTGAGAACCAAATTGGAGCATGATCATGACGAGTACCTATTCTGTCCTCTTTCATTGAAGAATCCATCAGACACAACTCCTAAACGTCATGAAGAACTATTGGAAATGATCCGAAAAACAGCACGCCACTGTGAATTTCAATGGAGACAAATTCAGAAAGGATATAAGCACGCAATTTGCCTTAACACTTCAGGATGCAAATGCTATGGAAGCTATTTACGAACAAATGGGTCATTCCACTACGGTTGCCAGAAACAACTACGAAATTGACCGGAAGCAGTTTAAATCCAGTGCGTTCACAAGCTTGCTTTTGGCACGCGATCTGAACCGAGGAGTGTTAACAAATGCAGGTGCCGCAAGCTCGAATGAAATTGAGAACAGAGACCCACATTCAGACCCGGAAAGCGACGATGATTACCAAGCTGAACAAGGCAAGGAAATCGAGGTTGACGAAAAAAACATTGACAATCAAGTTGAAGTAAGAGATAGAGGGAAAAGCCACACAGCTAAGTTGCAAGGGTATCCGACAGCAGAAGAAATCGCAGAGTTCATTGTGCACAGAAAGAAGAGGAGCACAGCGAAAAATATGATGAAATATGAATACGATGTTCATCTATATCTGGCGGAAATTTTCCTCAAGGATAAAAGAGGAAACCTTGCAAGTAGAAGAGGTGCTATCTTACGGAACCCAATACGATTCAAAATGGATCTCGATCATGCCCGAGATATATTCGAACGTATCGATACGTGGACTTCAGAAGGAGCAGATAAATTCTGGTTGAAACAAGCGCATGTCAGTGACGATGAATAATGCCAGTGACCGAAAACTTTGAGTCGAAAAAAAACTTTGTTATAGATGGTTAATTGCTTGATGCAGAAGCGAACTGGCTGAAAATTGTTTGTTGACTTTGCAATAATTTGTGTGCCCTTTCGCGTATTATTGTTATTTTATTTTTTTAACTGCAGTGAATTGATAACAGGTTTGAACCTAGGACATCGCCTGAACCCATGCTTGAAATTGATTTATACGACGTGATTGTGTGAAGTAAATTTGACAACCTTTTGCGTGTTTTCTCTGCTTTTTTTGCTAATTGGGTAATTTTCAACTTGAAAAATGATTAAAATTGCGTTCATTTAGGATATAACTAATTTAACACATATTTTGGTAAAATTGTTCTCAAAAAGTAACCTTTAATGTTGGTTTTGGTTTTTTTTGGGGATTAATTTTACATAAAATTGATCAAAGGGACTTTTCCGATACTAAGGGGACTTTTCGGGGTGCTTAGGGAACTTTTCCGGTACCGGGGTCTTTTTCGGGGGACTTTTCCGTTATTTAAATCCCCCGGCTCAGGGGACTTGTCCGTGTGGTAAGTAACGGAAAAGTCCCCTACAGCAGGACCCTAACCCTAACGCGACCTCAAAACTCAAAGTCAATTTCTGAATCAATTTATGAGAGGAAAAATATGCTATCAATCTCCGAGATCAAAAATGAGAAGGAAAAATTTTGGCTCAAGTCAATTTCTGAAAATGGCCCTACTCAAAAATTGTGCTGGCTAGGCCACTAACCCTAACCCTAACAATCTAAGCGTTCGCTACTCGGTAACTCCGCGTTCAATTTGATTTTGTTTGTAAAGGCTCTGTTGCATTTTCCCTCACATTTGAATTTCAGTTTTGAAACACAATATTAATGTTGTCGTGTAGCTATGAAACTTCGTGTGTTTAACAAAGTAACAACTGTGAAGAGATTTGTTGATACTCTACATCGCAATATCAACCATTTAGCTAGTAAAAACACGCAAAACATAATGAAAATATAAAAATCGAAAGGTGGGGGAGTCGTAATTAATCTTAATTTTCGTTCAAATTTCCGCTATCCGTGAATAAAATCCATTTAAGCCATCCATGTATTCGGATTTGTGACAATTGCAAATTAGCATCAATTTTTGCCTTATGACATGCATTATCCTACTTTCTGACAATATAGTGAGATATTTTATGACATAATAGTTCTGATCATGTCATCGAACTTGACCATGCCATCACTGTCCTCCAGTGACCCGAGGATACTCTCAGCCTCCTCCTCACTCAATCGCTCTCCTAACTTGGTCAGGATGTGTTTCAGTTCTATGCTGGAGATACGTCCGTTGCCATCCTTGTCGAACACTTTGAAGCCCTCGTGGAAGTCAGTGGCGGCGCTACTCGAGACACCTAAATTCATTCACATTTTCGACTCTTTTCCGAACAATCACTCCCCCCACCCCCTCCCTACACATTTGAAATTCAATTTTTAAGTTGAGATAATCTAACAAAGTTTTGTATGGTTGTATGGTGAACAACTTAACAATTGTGAACACATTTATTCATCATATCTTGCAGGGGGCGGATCTAGGATTTTCTCGAGGGGGGGGGGCGGATTTTCAAAAAAATTTTGAAAATTTTTACGACCTTTTTAGATCGACCAAACTGATTTTCCGAGCTCTCCTAAAGCACTTAAAAAGAGGCTGTTTCGGTCCTTTTTGGGCACTTTTAGGAAAATTTCGACAATAAAATGCTTTTTTTTGGCGCGCGCTCTCCCTCAAAATTAGTATATATTGGCGCCCAAGGCGCCTTAAGAAAAAATTTAGGTTCGGTCGACCAAAAATGGATTTCCTAAAAAGTAACAAAGGGGGGACCCTTTGAGTCGGCAGGGGGTCGAAATCCTGAAAAAAGCATCCCCCTCTAAATCCGCTCCTGATATCTTGCATCGTAACAACATTTTAAACTAAGAGGAAAACAGAATTGGCTCTGAGTAAAAGACATTCATTTTTTTGCTGAGAAAGGTTGCTTCAGTATCAAACCAAGAACACAGATGATAGTTGCCCTAGAACCACCAACCTTTTGGCAGACAGGTGAAACCATTCGGCGAATCACCTATGACTAATTTACGCGAGTTAAAAACGATTTCGTAAAATAACCAGCGTTATGTAATAACAAAAAGAAAACACAAGACAAATTATTTCTTGAAGTTTTCTTCTGCTTCAGTTTTTCAATTAATTTTGAATTCTTGGCTCCAGGAAAGAGGTGAATGGAGCTTCAAAACAAGTTTCTAGAACTGAAACTAAGTTCATTGTAACTTAATTAAAAGATTTTCGATCTAATCGCTCGCTTCAATTGCTCTAAATTGAATTAAAAAGCAAAACTTTCAAATCTGTTTTTCTCGATACAAAACCTTTTTTACAACCATTGAATCGCGCCTGATGGGGATTTAAGGTGGCCTCGTATAACATTCGACCCTATCTGAAGTTCTTTTGCGGTATCTGATTTTGCGAAAAAAAAGGTAAATGTTGAAATGGAACCGTTGAAGTTCCTATACTAAAACAGCTTTTGAAATGCCTCAGTAAAACACTGTTTTCATTTTGACATGGTAATACACGATCCAATCATGCACATGTTAACTTTTGTAATGATTGGTTGAAACATATTTGTTACAGAAATGAAGTTATGAAAAAAAAAACAAGACAGCAACAAAACTCGCTTCAAATAATTTTCTATCCAAAAACTCGAAACCCGATTAAACAAATTAAATCGCCCATCCAAGTAAATAAATTAACCTTTGTCCCGCAGAGCCATATACATGGGCACAAACTGCTCAAACGTAATCCGTCTTGTTGGGTCCTGTCTGAATCCAGACACCCGATCCACGTCATACTCTGTCGGGTTCAAACCCAGTGCCCTGGCTAACGGGCCCACACTTTTCGCCTCTACTCTCCCATCTCCTAGTCTGTCGAATAAATGAAACGAGTCTCGGAAGTCTGCCATCTGGTCATCTCCTAACGAAGCCATCTTGGAAGGCATAGTCAGTTTCTTCTGTTCCTTTACTGGTAAGGCAACGGGGTATTTTTTATTATACGCCGCCTGTATTTGATCATTATAAGGCTTAAATTAACTTAAAATCACTATTTTTTATTTGAGTTCAAACACAGTCAAAAACTGCTGCAAATCAGAAGCATATAGACATTTTTAACGTCTTTAACCTTTATCTGGAAGGCGTATAACAAAAAAAAAACGTCTCACCGAATTTACGAGTTGTAAAATTACTAAGCCAAATACTTGTTCAAAAGTTTTTGTTCTTACTTCTGTGCACTGGATAACTGAACGTAAATTGAAAACCAGCAAGAAATTTTGCAGCAAAGACAAAGGGCGCAGATTTCTCTGAAATAATAAATAATGAGTTATTAACCAATCCAGTCACTGTTTTTTTCGACGGTCAATTAAGTTTGCGTGATGATTGAAATAGTTGAAACGAATTTAAATTGCATAGTTCCTTATTCTCATTTAGAAACAAAAGAAAAATTTGCATAACTAATCAATTTATAAAACTACTATTACTTTATAGCCAAATATACTACTGAACTTAAATCAAAAACTAAGCCCGCAATATGAACTCAACTTCATCTGAAGTATTCAACGCAATTGGAAGCACCGATTAACAAAAAAAAACAACAGACATTTGGAAAGGTGTTACTGAACTCCGGTAAGACGCAAAACTTTTGAAAATTTTCTCTGGACAACTTTTTCAAGCAAAAACTAACTACTTCAATGATTGTCTTCCCTACGTTAAGTAACACCTAAAAAATAATGCTGATATTTTTTACTTCAACTAGTTGTATGTTTGCCCTCATATAACGACAACTAATCAGTTCATGTTCCAGCCATCGGGCCTTTGTTGCGATAGCCCTCAGCAACCGTCGCGTATATTCCTCCTTTGGTCAAAGCAAAGTTTGACTTTCTGTACAGATTATCAGGTATAGCGGACACTAAACTAGACGTTGAATTTTCATCGGGAATGATTGGTTGTCCCACTTTTAACAACTTACCCTCGTCGTCCACAAGCACGAATGTTTCGTAACACGGAGGGCACCAAACCAGTTTGAAAGCGATTCTTGAATTAAATTGAGCATGAGCAACGTCATTCGGAGGTACTGAATCGCATCCATTGGTGCATGTCGACCAGCTACCACCCTCGCCAAGATCAGGCACTGAGGCTTTCTTGATGTGATCGCCCAGAAAATTTTTTCGTGAGATCTTCTTCACTAATCCATTCTCGTTGCTGTTGGACTGCACATCCTCAAGCATAGTAGTCAAGTCACAGTGATTATCGTCATTAAAAGCGTGACTTGTACTTCGATCTTCTAAGAGACCCCCACACCATAGCAAAGTTGATCTTATTTCTTTCCAGTGTCTATTCATGAGAGAACTAGAGGGAAGAGATTTCAATCTACGATGGACCTCCAGCATTCGATGACACGCCGTCCCAGGATACTTAGTGTCCCGAATGACGCCATTGACAATTGTGTGTGCGTAGGGATAAACTGCTTTGATGTCCCCGGGCATTCTAGCAGCGATTTTCGTCAAACTCTATTTTTGAAAAAACTCAATTAAAAAATCTTGTTTCAAACTACTCTGAAATAACATAACTCCTCGAAAGTAATGAAACCCCGCAAACATTGTGGAAATAGAGCAAACCAAAAAAAAACAGACAGGCCAGCAAACAATGAAAAACGTTTGTTCACTTAAAATTTTACCGCATACGATTTTTATATACGTTTTAGCCTAATTGTTGTGGTAAACTTATTAAAAATATGTGTTATGATTGATGTTTGTGTGCCAGTCATTCATATTTAAAAGTTTGACCTTGAGCTGAACGTTTGTCAACTGGCAAAACTGTACAGAAAAATGAGCATGGTTGACAAATTGTATATGGAATTGACAGCGGATTGTCATGGTGTGACGTCAATTAGATGAATAACCTCATTAGAAATAAATAGCTTGCTTAGCTGATTTGAGTGATCAGAGCGCTTCCAGCAAGCGAATGAGCTTGTGACGTCCATAAGCATGGACGTTTTTCCTGGAGCGTTACAGACTGAGCAGAAGATTGGAGGTTGGCGAGTACCGCCGGAAAATTAAGGGTGTTTGAAGTACAGCGAAGGACATCATAGGCATGGTAGTTCGAAGCACATGGTGGAATCTAGCTCGGCACCATACTGTTGTTGTTGTTGTTGTGGTGGTGGATTTTCGCAATGCGAAGGGATTTCTCCCCAATTCTGATCATGTGTGGTAATTCATTCTGCAGTTGTTGCATAGACAATAAAAGGTCCATGAACAGGCATTGTTCTCTTGATAATGTTGTACAAAATAGCTCCACATATGATCTAATAATCTAGCCTTGAGTCCTTCGGGGTTATTGAAATCAATATTCACATCAGAAATATTTGCTCTCATGCACGCACCACTGTAACAGCAAATACCCCACATACATGGTGGCTTAGCATGCGAGGACCCAACAAGTGTTGATTGATCAACTGTTCTCCTAGCCTTATTTGGTGCTCTTCTTCTAACCCATCAAATGGTAATCAGAAGGTCAAAAGTATCATAGTAACCGAGGTTACAGTCATGAGTCCCTTCATCATGTATTCCAGTCAAAATCCTTGGAATTTTTTAGATATGGAAGTGATAATGAAAAAAGAAGATGACAAGTGTTAAGTCCTTTTCAATTAAAATCGATACGGGTTACGTTTCTTCAATAAGAACACGCAACTCGACACGAGATAATATAATATACAAGTGTTACAAGTGTGACATTCGACCAGAATGTGCCAAAATGCAATCTCTGCAATTTAGTCATTTTTAGCAGCGAGCCTTCCGAGTTGGTAATTTTGGAGGATTAAGAACGTTATTTGAACGATTGAACAAAACGTGAAGGTTGAAGGATTCGGAAATTCCTAAATTTTAAATTTTCGAAGTGATTAAGTATCATTTCTGAGAAACGTCAGAAACGGCCATTTTTGGCAGAAAAGCTGAAAAGCAACAGAACAACATTAGCTGCGATTGCGAGAAGTGCGGAAATTGTGATAAAAAACGACCACAAATCACGGAGGTGACAGAGAACGTTCCGAGTTGCAACTATTGTGTCGCTACAATAGTTGCAAGGCCGTTGCAGACAACGGTGAAGGGTGGAAGACAGCCTTCCGGATTACGGAGAAATCAAGATTAACATACTTGATTCAGTGGATTCAAGAATCCGGAAGGGTTTCGGGACTGAAACTTTTATCCTGTTATATAAACTTTTAGCTTCTTGTCATGTCCTGAATTGAATTTAATTAACAACTGGATTCATTTTGATAAGGATGAGAAGCTAGGAGTTGGGGAAAAGGGTTGATCCATCTTCGATGGAGATGATGATTTTTATCTACTGAACAAAAACAATAATAATTCAATAAGTAGTAGCCCTGTTTTTAGGAGTGACCTCGTGGTCTGGGGATACTGAGACCCAGCCATGAGCTCACTATTTCTGCATGTAATTAAGTTAATTTGAGTGTTTTGACCGAAGCCGAAAGCAGTAACGTTTTTGTCGACCCGATGTTAGAAAAGACCACCGAAAGTACTGGCTTGGTAGAGACGGTGAAAAGCATATAAAGCTCTGTTTAGACGTTAGCCAGTCGTCTTAGGACTTAGTTTTATTTTCCGTCGATATGTATCTTCCGGGCGAATCTTACATACATGTTTTTATGGCGCTCCTGGGTGTTATTATTTTTTAACATCATGACCAGCAGAACCGTTAACGAGCACTCCGCGCCGAGCGGATGCTCATATTAACGCCCTTAATAGGCCTAAACCGCCGGGGCGGAAGCGTAGTTCGGAACGCGGAAGCCTTCCGGATTACCGTGAATAGCTTTTTAACTTAGTTAAGACCGAAAATTCACGAATCAGGAAGGGTGGGGGGATCGGCCATTCCCTCGTTCCCTGAGAGGTTTGTGACCAAAAACAATTGAAGATATATATAAAACCAAACAAAAAGTAGTATAGTACCCAAGAAAAACAAAAAACATAAAAAATAACCAAAAACAGAAAAAAGTTAAAAATCAGTAGAAATCATCCCCCCAGACAAGATGTGATCCGACCCCCCGTTGTTGTTGATAGATATATTGTTGTTAGAGGCATTTATATCAGTCAGGATCGTTACGATCAATTTTGTAGCCTGTTTGTGAGGCTTGTACTGTAGGGTTATTTGAGCATTTAAGCACGTTAATGATAAATTGCGCTCAATCCGGAAGGGTCTTGGGAGAAGACTGATCCGGCAAGCAGTACAAGGAGCAACAAGAAGGCGCTCAACGACAACAACAATCGACTGTTGGGTATCGTTAACAAGTTTTGTATCCCTTTTGGTACAAAAAGTAAGATAGTAATCTGTGGGGGGCTCGACAGTGCTGCACTGTAGTGACCCTTCACCGAACTGCGAATATCCGAGTTAAGCACCTTAATTCGGATATTAAACAAACCCGGAGGGGTATAGTATTACTAATATTATTACTAATTTACAAAACCGGGGGCTCCCAATCCGGAGGGGTCAAAAATTTTTTTCAAATTAGGAGGGGTCCGAATCCGGAGGGGTCTTGTAGTTGCTAATCCGGAGGGGTACAGGTAGCATAGTTTTTCGCAAATTTTTTCAACTAAAGCGTTTTAGATCGGGTCTTTTGCATTGAACTAGAAGATTATAGGCCTTTTGAGCTCGGATCAATAATTTTTAGGTCGAAAGGACCAGATTTGCGGAAAAAGTTAGGCGGAACCTATAAGAGAGAAATTTCTTGACTTTGGAAAAAAGACGTTTTGGTTAATAACTTTGGAACTACTGGGCATATTGAGTTGATCTTGGTACCAATAGATCAAAAATTAGTTGAGCTTACTGATAGGGACAAAAGTTTTTCGGAAAAGTAAGCGTGAAATTTTTTTTTGAGATTGTTTTTAGCAAATTCACCAATTTGGGAGGGTAGACCCTTCACGTTTTGTAAATTTCTTGTAGAAAAGCCCTTATATTCCTACCAAAAGGTAATAGCGGTTGAATAAAGTAACTTTAGGCCGTTCTAGACGAAAAGAGAAGGCTAAAGGCACAGAAAAACCTTATTCAAGCCGAAGTTAGGCGAGCGATAAGACCATTCACCGTTAGTGTGAATTGTCAAATAAGAGGCTCAACTTCAATCCGGAAGGGTCTAGGAAAGTAGTACATACCCTTCCTAGTTAATTGAAAGAGCAAAATTGCATCGGAGAACGTATCCGGAGGGGTATAGGTTGAAAGAAGGAAATCTCCGAAAAGCTACTTTTACAAAACCGGGGGGCTCCCAATCCGGAGGGGTCAAAATTTTTTTTCAAATTAGGAGGGGTCCAAATCCGGAGGGGTCTTGTAGTTGCTAATCCGGAGGTGTACAGGAAGCATCGTTTTTTGCAAATTTTTTCAACTAAAGCGTTTTAGATCGGGTCTTTTGCATTGAACTAGAAGATTATAGGCCTTCTGAGCTCGGATCAATAATTTTTAGGTCGAAAGGACCAGATTTGCGGAAAAAGTTAGGCGGAACCTATAAGAGAGAAATTTCTTGACTTTGGAAAAAAGACGTTTTGGTTAATAACTTTGGAACTACTGGGCATATTGAGTTGATCTTGGTACCAATAGATCAAAAATTAGTTGAGCTTACTGATAGGGACAAAAGTTTTTCGGAAAAGTAAGCGTGAAATTTTTTTTTGAGATTGTTTTTAGCAAATTCACCAATTTGGGAGGGTAGACCCTTCACGTTTTGTAAATTTCTTGTAGAAAAGCCCTTATATTCCTACCAAAAGGTAATAGCGGTTGAATAAAGTAACTTTAGGCCGTTCTAGACGAAAAGAGAAGGCTAAAGGCACAGAAAAACCTTATTCGAGCCGAAGTTAGGCGAGCGATAAGACCATTCACCGTTAGTGTGAATTGTCAAATAAGAGGCTCAACTTCAATCCGGAAGGGTCTAGGAAAGTAGTACATACCCTTCCTAGTTAATTGAAAGAGCAAAATTGCATCGGAGAACGTATCCGGAGGGGTATAGGTTGAAAGAAGGAAATCTCCGAAAAGCTACTTTTACAAAACCGGGGGGCTCCCAATCCGGAGGGGTCAAAATTTTTTTTCAAATTAGGAGGGGTCCAAATCCGGAGGGGTCTTGTAGTTGCTAATCCGGAGGTGTACAGGAAGCATAGTTTTTTGCAAATTTTTTCAACTAAAGCGTTTTAGATCGGGTCTTTTGCATTGAACTAGAAGATTATAGGCCTTCTGAGCTCGGATCAATAATTTTTAGGTCGAAAGGACCAGATTTGCGGAAAAAGTTAGGCGGAACCTATAAGAGAGAAATTTCTTGACTTTGGAAAAAAGACGTTTTGGTTAATAACTTTGGAACTACTAGGCATATCGAGTTGATCTTGGTACCAATAGATCAGAAATTAGCTGAGCTTACTGATAGGGACAAAAGTTTTTCGGAAAAGTCAGCGTGAAATTTTTTTTTGAGATTGTTTTTTTAGCAAATTTACCAATTTGGGAG